AAGGTTCTGGCTCAGAATGCAGGATATGACTCACAGGAGACGCTGGTAAAACTTCAGACCGAATATGCTGAAACAGGTCAACTCATTGGTGTAGACTTGAACACAGGTAATGTTTGTTCATATCGTTGCACTGTTACACCATTAACAGTGTTAGGAAAAGTGCACCCACTTGAACGTTTGTCTTTTAACTGGCCTTGCCTGCATTTTCCTCTTTTAAAATGATTCTATAATGTGTTTTTGTCCAGTTTTAAGTGATAGTTTAGAATCCTATTTGATATAATTGAATTGTCTTTATCAAATCTTTAAAAAATGAACATTGCAGGATTCTCTGTTAAATGCTATGTGTAACTAATGCTTGGCTTTCTAACAAAAACCCATAGCAGATCTATATTCTTTTATGTTAATATGCTAGGTGCCTGGCTGACATGCTCAGCCTCTTGCTTTAAACTTTGAATCGCATGTATGGGAAGTGAGATTTCCTTATTTTGTGGACATTTCCTTCCACTTCCTGTGGTGCATATATGGGTGAAATCTCCCCCATTTGAGGCATATATAGCAGTAAAATCTGACCGTTATTCAAACTAGGGATGTCCCGATGCCACTTTTTCAAGACCAGGTACTTGCTGATACCAATTACCGATACTTTTTCATAAAGGGAAGTGACATTTTTTCTAAAACAATAGACTGATGATTGTAGGGCAGTTTCTCACCAGGGCTGCGTGCAGGGGTCCAGTGGGAAGAATGACCTTTGCATTAGTGGTTGTTCCCGGAACTAGCCAGGCATCATCCAGCAGGAGGTTAATCAGCAGCAGCTCATGCACCCCCACGCAACCGCTAGAGGAACCCTGGTTGAGAATGACAGACCTAGGCTGTTCTCCTGCATAAGGTACAAATAGATTCTATACAGCATTCAATAGTAACACACCAAATGCTGTTCGCTCCAGCGCAGTAGCTGCTGGAACGCACTGCAATCCCTCACAAAACTTCCCCCTGCGTTCTGTGGCGGTGCATTCAATTCAATGGCACCGCTTCCAGCCCGCCCACAGTGATCAGATGCTTGGCAAAACTTTGCCTGCGTTTCGTTCCACTGCAAATGCATAAAATGCTGCTTGCTCTATTTGCGTTTGCAGTGGAACCGAACGCAGGCAAAGGTTTGCCACGCGTCTGATCTCAATGTGGGGAGGGGGGGACGCAAAACGCAGGGGGAAATTTTGTGAGGGGTTGCGGTGCGTTCCAGCAGCTACCGCTCTGGATCGCACAGCATTTGGCGTGGACAAGCCCTAAGTGCGCCAACTGCAATGCCCCCCTTTTGGTGTTTGTGCCATACACAGGTAAACAATAAGCTTGTCACTCGCAGTAGACACTCTCATACACCCAATACAGGATCTATCTCGCTGCTCTCGCTCTTCCCCGGCACTTCCGTACTGTCTTGACCATTGGAGTTCTTGTAATATTTGAATGTGTTACTATGTTGCACAGAGAACACACCAGTGTGCAGTGTGCTGCTACGCACCCTTGGTCTCATTTCTGTGCTATATAAAATCTGTTCTTTTTCCTCTGCTTTGGAAGATGTTGTTCTTCTAAATGTATTCAGAAGAACAGTGTAAAAATGTATTGGGAATTTACAGTTGTTCTGCAAGTGATAATATAAATGGATTTGCTCCTTTAAACTTTAATGTGAAATGCCCAAGGTAACCTTACTAAGGTGCAGGTATGTTATGAACTGATTGAGGCTATAATTTATGTCCAGGACATTTTGGGTTAATTTGAAGACTTGGCTGCCCATACACTTATCCATTTATTTATTTTTTTTAATTCAACCCACTGACTGAATTAAAAAATGGACCTGATTCCTCCAACACAAACAGCGTGTCGATTGAGGAATCCCGCTGTTTGCGTTGTATTCTAACAGGTGCCTTTTGGCACCTGTCAGAATACCTGATCAGAGTGGGCTTCTCATTGCCTGCCAGCTCTGATCAATTAAACTTTCCAGCCAACTCCTTTTGATCAGCTGATCGAGGAATGCTGGCTGAAATGGACAACAGCCCCACTGCAAGGGTTAAAAATGTTGCCCGGAGTTTAACTTTTAGGCATGTGTGGGCAACTCCAGCTGTGCTTTAACTACAAATCTCAACATGCCTGTAACTGTCAGTCTTGCAATGCCTCATGGGACTTGTAGTTCCACAACAGCTGGAGGGCCAGAGTTTCCCACCCCTGTTTTAAGGTGTACCAACAGCAAAAACTTTTTCTTCGGTTAGAAAGACATAACTATTAGATGTTCTAACTCTTTCTCATTATACCTTGAAGTTTAAAAATGTGTTCTTCTCTTTTAAGGTGAACCAATGGTTTCTTCAGAAGCAGGAGTTTGGGACAATTACAGCGTTAAGAAGCAGCTTCTTCATTCTTGGTAATTATGATCTTTCTAAATGTACTCCTCCTTCCCCTTTTGAGAAGATCTGAATGTGTGTGTTGCATAAACATTTTGAAACATATATTTCCAAATAATTTTGTTCTAGCTCATTGCTATCATCAACATTAAAATGGTTGTAAACTTTGGTACGAAATGGGTAATGGTATGCAAGTATACATTTGCAACTTAGCTGGCTGTAATAGTCATGTTAATATACATATGAAGCTGCAGCTTTTTCACAACATATATGCCACATTTGTAAAGCTTTTCTCCAAAACCCATAGTACAAGACTGATGTACAAATGGTATATAAACATGTTTGTGAATGATTGGAAAGAACCTGTCTGTTCTAACCTAGAATAACTGTTCTTTTTCAGCACTGTAATCGCAAGTAATATCCTTTTGGTGGATGAGATTATGAGAGCGGGGATGTCATCTCTGAAAGGCTGAATTTAGAATCTTTATTTCCACCTTTGACGATGGATTAATATGCTTATTCCAGGCATCCTGCCGCAGTTCGGGTTGATTTGCATAGCCTGTGGTTTCAGAAATCTCATGTCACTTAAAACTGTAAAACAATAGCACCTATTGAAATTCATTTCATCTAACCTTCAAATTTTATTTATTTCATTTTTTTATGGCACTGAAGTATACAACTTGGCCCCTCCCAGTCTTTGTACTGAATTAAAAAAAATGCAATCTCACCTGTGGTTTTGTTTCAATACATTGACTGTATTATTTTTTACAAAGTCCCAAAAAGAATTGGCTGCTGGTGTCAGGATGGTAGCTGACTTGCCGGTTTGTTTTGGGGGTCACGAGGTTACCTTACGTCAGCAGCAGCAGCAGAAGGCTTATGTCATACATTGGCAGCAGCAGGGCCCTTGCAGCAGACAGCAGCTGAAGTCTGTTTACATGTGTAAAGCTGATTTTATTGGAAGCGATTTAGGCGGCAGTAAAGCCATCCGCTAATTTGCATCGGTTCTGATATGTAATAATAGAAGATGCACTGCACTTGAAGGTCACAATAGACCTCTACCTATGTGAAACTAAATTGTGAACTGTGAGATACCCCACTTAAATAGAAGTACAACTCTGACTGTGCAAAACAGCTAATGTGATACGCCAGTTGATATCAAAATGCAATGTGCTTGATATGTGCAAAAACTGAACATTCAAATTCATCCGATAAATACATAAACGTTACATCAGTCCAGAAACAATACTAGTCCACTTCCAGTGATAGTGAATAGTGCAATCCCAAAAATATTCATTAATCACATAAATACAGATAGTCCAAATGGCAATCAGAACAACTTGCATCAATCTTCTGTGCCGTGTGCCACCGTGCTTAATCAGTTCAACTTTCGTGGATAGATGAGAAAAAGATCTCCACTTCCTCCAGATGAAATCGTTAGTGACGAAACGCATGGATAGGTGGGCACATGCTGACGTCATGTCCAAAGAGCAGTGGAGAGAGATTCTATATGGACAGATGGAAGGGAGTTTCTTATGAGATCGTTTTTTTTTTTTTTGTGTGTTTTTGTTTCTTCTTAATCTGTTTTCAATTTGAGGTTTTTAAATTTACTTCACAATGAGGTTTTAATGTGGCTCCTCTTGAGTGATTTGAGGAGATCAGCAGGTAATCTCTGGATTATGCTGGGCACACACCTTACAACCCTAAGTCTTGCGAGGGTTGTAAGGTACTTTAAAAAAAAACGTACGATCTGCCCATCTTGGACAGGCAGATCGTACTTGCGATGATCGCAAGCCGCGCCGTCCTGAGGTGCGGGCTTCTGATGACCGCAATGCCGAACGGGCTCTGTGCGCTTGCGCACACCGGCCTGTCCGGCTTTTATCTTACGAACATGCTACACACCCGCCGAACATCGTGCGATGCTCGGCGGGTTTTCGAACATGTTCGTGAGTTTAAAGTCGTGCGATCTTACAGTAGTAGAGGTCGCACGGCTTCCACACACCTTACGATAATCGTACGATCGCGGGATTTCCCGCGATTATCGTAAGGCGTGTGTGCACCCTTGGTGTCAGAATTACAAGTGATGAAGAGATATTGAGAGGCAAGAGTTATCAGCTGGAAAGCAGATACTGACCATAAGAGGTCATTAAGATCTGGTGAGTGCGGATCTTTGTCTTGTCTATCCACAAAGGGTGAACTGATTAAGCACATGGCACAGAAGATTGATGCAAGTTGTTCTGATAGCTGTTTTGGACTATCTGTATTTATGTTTATTCATATTTTTGTCATTGCACATTTCACTGCTATCACTGGAAGTGAACTAGTATTGCTTCTGGACTGATGTAAAGTTTATGTATTTATTGGGGGCGGATTTGAATGTTCAATATTTGAACTTATCAAGCACATTGTATTTTGCTATATTAACTGGTGCATCACAGTTGTTTTGCAAAGTCAGAGTTGCACTTAGTTACAGTGGTGTATCTCACAGGTCAGTGCAGTGCATCGTATTAATCTTCAAAGGTCTGATATATCACACACTTTTAGCACAGCAACTCATTAGGTGGGTTATTTTTTTTATTTTTTTAATTCCATGTTGCAGATCCCTTTTTTAATACTGGTATGCAAATCCTCCACACTATATGATCCCAGAAGCAATAATGATTTCCAGTTTCTGAGCTGTTGTTTCCAAGAAGCTGATCAAACACAATCTAATAGACCCCTATTGACTCCGTAAAGGACATGTCACCACTAAAGTGCTATCACATAGGGGGCTATATGATGGCAAAAATTTAAGTTAAAAAAAGAATGTAAAACCACTCCAAACGTACTCTGCACCCACATATGAAAACTGATTGTGCCACATGTTGGGTATTGCCACACACCAGAGTGTGAGCAGTAATTTTAGGGCCATTCATTAACCCTAAACGGATGACCTGTAAAAGCTTAAAGTGTCACCTATAGACAATTTGGGGTACAGTTGCTTTTCTCATTTCACAGGTTCACACTATTTTTAAGCTTGACTTGTTTGGTATCTATTTTTTTATTTTTATTTTTTTATCTAAGGTTGTTTCTGTGCGCTAAAATTAACAAGTTTTTTTTTTTTTTTTACTGCCAATTTGGCTTTGATACAAAGCTGCAGTAATATGCAATATAAACAATTGTAACTGCCACCATTTTATTCTACAAGGTCTCTGCTTTCAGGAAATATATATATATATATATATACACACACACACAGGTGAAACTCAGAAAATTAGAATATCGTGCAAAAGTTCATTTATTTCACTAATGCAACGCAGCCGTCTACCAGGAGATTTTGGAGCACTTCATGCTTCCTTCCGCAGACGAGCTATATGGGGATGCTGACTTCATTTTCCAGCAGGACTTGGCACCTGCCCACACTGCCAAAAATTTTCTGAGATTGTGGATTGGGGTTTTCATGAGCTGTAAGCCATAATCATCACAATTATGACAAATCACGGCTTGAACTATCTTGCTTTGCATGTAATGAGTCTATCTCATATATTACTTTCACCTTTTAAGTTGCATTAGTGAAATAAATGAACTTTGCACGATATTCTAATTTTTCGAGTTTCACCTGTATATAATTCTGTGATTTACCACATAGCTGCAAATTCCTATGTCACTGCAGTAGCACAGTTGGTCAGTTCTAGTTTCTTCACATTCACTTAGGCCTTGTTCACACCAAATGCAGAGCAGATCCGGTCAGGTTTCTGCACGTGCAGTGGGTTGTACCGCGTTTTGGGCTGTTTTTGGTTAAGTTTAACATGGGCTTTCAGGCACTTGCACGTGTTTTTGATGCGTTCCAGAGCAGGTAAAATAGGGCTTGCTGCAGTTTTTTCACCTGCTCTGGATCTGCACGCTGCGATGTGAACTGGAGCTCAAAATACCATAGGAATACATTGGACGCAGTTTTCATCCAGTCTGCACCTGCTCTGGATCTGCTCCGCGCTTGGTGTGAACAAGCCCTTAAAGTAATCATTCCTATTTTCTACTCTTGGGTCAGCTACTTTAATTCATATAATGCAGAGAGGCCCCAAGTGGTCATCTTGTTACTGTACCACTATGCTCACCTCACATTTTTCACAGCAATGTGTTCAGCTAAGGGAAGCACAAAATGTAATGAACACAATACATTGCCTTCTGCAGTACTTTTCAAACCTAATTCCTGAAGTTCTCTAAAATAATAATCTGCTGTGATGCATATCCAGTCATATAATACAATAAACAAGAGCACTTATTGGCAGGCTGAAATAAAGCAAGAACCTTCTATTTGCATTAAAACTGTCTATACATCTGTAGCAATACAGTGTAGTTGTTCCCATTATTCCTATACATACTCAGGCCACTAAGGTCAATGCAAATTAGCATCAAGCACTTCTGAAAGTAACAGATTCCTCCATCTACGCTAAACTGTGTGGATGGAGGAATCTCCCGCTGGGCCAAGCTTCTGTATCTTGCTAGTCAGCCCCGCTGGCTGTCAAAATACTTGAACAATGCCAGCATCCAATCAGATTGTTCAGGTATTTTGAAAGCCAGAGGGGCAGACTAGCAAGATACTGAGGCTTGGCCCAGTGGGAGATTCCTCCATCTTTCCCATTATTCCTATACATACTCAGGCCACTAAGGTCAATGCAAATTAGCATCAAGCACTTCTGAAAGTAACAGATTCCTCCATCTACGCTAAACTGTGTGGATGGAGGAATCTCCCGCTGGGCCAAGCTTCTGTATCTTGCTAGTCAGCCCCGCTGGCTGTCAAAATACTTGAACAATGCCAGCATCCAATCAGATTGTTCAGGTATTTTGAAAGCCAGAGGGGCAGACTAGCAAGATACTGAGGCTTGGCCCAGTGGGAGATTCCTCCATCCACACAGTTTAGCGTAGATGGAGGAATCTGTTGCACTTTTTCCATCTGGCCATAGAAAACCTGCAGATAAAATATAGGTGTAAGGCCAGCTGAAGCCTTCCTGGTTTAGTGTAGAATTATTCTTGCCTAACAAGTGTCTCGTTCACAACTGTGCCAAAATACTTAGTGCTGTGCAGCATGATGCACACGCTATCCCAAAAGAGCTTTAAAATTGTACTCTAAAGGAAAACTGCTGCCAGGCTGGAAGATTACTAAAGAACTGTTTGAGTCTGCTAAAATAAGCCAGCATACTTTGCTGTATATGGTGAGGTGGTGTGTAATGCACTGCACAGTGGATAGCGGTGTTCAGTGAAAAAGAACTTTGAGACCATTTCATCTTCTGATGGTACACCGTAACACAAGAAAGCTGGCTCTGTACCATTTTTTTTTTCTCAATGCAGTGCACCAAAAAACACAGTTCACTCCTGTGCATTGCCATTTAAAAAGGCATGTTCCATTGTTATACAACGTTGTAATATGTAAGAATGGGCACTTAAGGTCAAGGTGCTGATTGTTATAAATCAGGGGTAGGCAATCTCAGCACTTGCTGTGGTGAAACTACAAATCCTGCCATGCCTGTGGTTGGCATGTTTTGCAATGCACAACATCTGGGTGTCAAGTTTGCCTAACCCCGGTATAAGATGTATTCACATTGACTCATTTGAAGGTTCTTATTGAATCCATGTTCTTTCTGGCTTACTGTACAATGGGAACAGAATACAGCAGAAACTATAAGAGATTCAGAAACCAAGTAAGAATATATTTGTATGAGCTAGCACTTCCCACTTTCAGTAATTCAGTACAGGTTATTTTATCTATAATCATTTGTTGCTGAGCTGTGGGAGACCTCAGGATGAGAGTCCCCCTCCATGTTATTTGGGTTGGATAATCCAAGATCTTGGGTCTGGATTTCAAATATCTGAAATGTTTTTCTATTTTAGTGTTTTCCGTATAGTGTAGTATATATTGGAGTGTCTGAGTACCAGTATAAATAGGCACTTTCATATTAAATCATCGTCCTAAGATTGGTTCCAGCCTCTTCCTTCTGCTGTTCACATACCACCTCATATCTTCTAACAAACATTTCCCTTTACTCTGCGTTCCCTTTGCTGATATATTTTAATTTTCTTGTGAGCAAGTTCTAGTTTCTTTTCAAGTTCCCAGATTTTTTTCTTGATTGCAGCAGGGCTTGGAAGGCAGTAGCCATGATCATAGTGCGTTGTTTGTTTTTGGTTGTCTGCAGGGCACAGCGATGGAGGCTGCTGATCTAGTTTGGTAGCGGCAGCTTTCTTTACAAGAGTGATCTGTAGGCAAAAAAAAAAATCAGCAAATCAGACATGAGTGAGCTCTGATTATTCAGTAATAGTCACTGTATAACAAACGGCATGCCATTAGAAACTGTAAGACCCTTTGATCGGGGAATATGCTGCAAAGCCCATCCTTAAAGTGTTCATATGATCAGTGCGTGTGTGCCCTTCCCCCAACAAAATGGGTAAAATGAAACTTGGTGACACTAAACTCAGGAGTTAAACCTTAAAAATGCAAACAAGTAGCTTAACTAGTAACAATACTGGATCTTATTGGGTATCGCTGGAGGGTGGCTACTTTTGTTCCCCATGGTCCCTATGTGTGTTGTACAGTAGTCACCGCTCCAAGATCGCTCCCGTAATGGATTACAATCTCAGTACAATTTAGTAAACTAAAGATGAGATTGTAGTCCTTCATAGCAGTAAGGGTGGAGCGGTGGTTACTTTACAACACACACGGGGACCATGGAGAACAAAAGTAGCCACCCTCCAGAAGGAAGGACAGTGTCGGCACCAATTCAGAAATGATTTGAGGATCTACAGCCGAGTGATACACAAATAAGATACATTTTTTATTATTAGGCTTTCACTCGAGTGGTTTGATTGGGTCCACCTGTCAATTGTTCAGGCTGACCTGATCAGCGGCCCAGTGCTAGTCTCAGCTGCCGAGTTTAAACATACGGGCGTCTGGTTACTCTGAACTCCAGCCAGGTCCAGAAAAACAGTGTTCTGTTTCGCCGGAACATAGGGAACCTGATGTAAACAGACACATGTCCGTTTACATCTAGTTTCCTCACAGACCAACATGGGATCTTGCAGTTTGTTAAAACTGGATGGACACTGATGTCACAATGGCTACGTCTGATCCGTTCTGCACTGTTCATGGATCCCCTCCTGATCAGCCTGCCTGTAAGGGGCCTTAGGGTACTAGAATGCATTTTTAAGCTTTGTTTGAATGAGTTTAGTGTTGTTTTAAGTCAGCTGTGTCTCTATCGAAGTAATGGCTGAATAAGCAGAAGAACTGATGATTCTGAAAAATGATTCTTGCCCGACTTGCAGTATGCTGAGAAAATGATCTACACCTTCTCTGACTTTCCTGATCTCTAAACTTGTTTCAGATTATTAACAAAAAGTACTGAGTGTGTCAAGACATGCCACCAGCCAACTCGCATTTTCCGATTACTAGTAGCGGCCCTTTTTACTTGAACTTGGTCTGGTTCTGTGAGAGTACTTGATGTAAGTCCTCGTTAGGCCCTGTAAACTGATTAGTGTATAGCGCCAAGAATGTTTTATTACCAGCCCCAGACCTATTAAATATAGTATATGCAATATCTATTGCTAGTAGGGTTGCACAGATACCAAGTACAGTACTCGGTACAAGTACGAGTACATGTACCGATACTTTTGAGCTCCAAGACTACACTAGAGAAAAGTTCAAAAATTAGGAGGCCGCTGTCATTTGTAAGGAGCACACGGAGCTCCTGGGATTTGTACATCTCTGTTTTAATGTACGATTTTGTTTTTATAAATATAAATAAAGTGATGCACAGATACCAGTTTTGCGAGTACTGGTACTTGCCGAGTACTTACAAGTACGAGTACTGATATATTTTTGTTTATTGTCATTTGACAGTTTTTCTAAAACAATATCGACTAATGATTTCAGGACAGTGGTGGAGCGCCAGAGCCAGGTCCTAGCTGCAACCGCTTCAACCTTGGTAAATCTCATGAAAATGCCGATATGTGTGTGTGTATATATATATATATTACTTTTATTTAGCCCCATCCTGCCTATACACTTTTTTGGGGGAGCATGTGCCTTAGAGTTAATGGAGCACAGCAGATGCAGTTCTCCATTCACTGTATATTGCTTGGAGTAGTGATTAACGCTAGTACAATAATCTCAAGTAATCCGTTGATGCAGAGGTTTATGGAATGTCTGTATAAAAAAACAAAGTGCTTCATGAAAGAACGTAACACATCTGTAACTCAGTCCTAAACTGTCACAGCAGAAAGATAATCCATTTGGGAAAACTGGTTGGCCTGCACATACCCTGCTCTATCTGGAACAGTTGTCGTACACCTACCCCAATATCAGGAAATGTGTTTCTGTATTTTTTGTTTGTTGTCCTGACCATAAAGAAAATCTAATCAAAAACTTCCCTTGCAGAAGACCTTTTCCTATCTGAAGTTATATTGCACTTATACTTGGATTTAAAGCATCCACAGATTGTTGGCATTATGAGGCTAAAACAGGCACTAAATGTGACCCATACTGACTTTTAAAACAGGGGTGTGTGATAATCTTTGGGGGTTAAGCATGTAGACTTTGTTTCGCGCTATGCTATGATAAACTGTAAAGTATATCTTGTTGGGCACCAATGGTGGAGTAACCACAGGAGGCAACAGAAAATGGGACTTGTGCACTCTCAAATATTGGACAGGATGGTAAACCATTCCCTATGCTTTGAGTGTAGTAGAAGTAGGCCTGCATCTAGGTGCTGTTCCTCCTGTAATCTTTGCTACACTGTGTTTTCTTTCGCCAATGATGGTACAAGTTCCTCTGTCAGCCAAGGTGTTAAAAAAAAAAAAACATTTTACATTTATCAGTGCTGGGACAAAGTTCTTTGGCACCCAAGGTGAAAATGCCACGTGCACCCCCAGAGCCCCATTGATTACACAGTCTGATCTGATGTGCTGTGCTGTGCTGTGCTGTGCTGTGCAAGTGCAGGGGATGATTGGCAAGGGCAAAGCCACCAGAGGGTCCCGCCATAGCCTCTGCTGGATTGTCCATGGAACAACCTGTTTACAAAAGATTGTTTGCAGACAAAACAACCAATATGGCCAGCATAACACTACAAACCAAATTAAGGGGAACCAGAATTCATCATTTGTGATCTGCTGCCCAGGGGAATTAGCACTTACATAAACAAGGAACTTGATGCATCCCAATTCCTGCGACTGCAGTTCATTACACTCCTCTCTGCCTGCAATGTATGTTCTAGCCTAACTTTAAAGAACTCCAAGCAACATTTTAGCATTAACCCTTGCAGTGGGGCTACCAAGGGTTAGGTGCTTGTTCTGGTTTAGAGAGGAAAATAAAGTTATACCCACCTGGTCCTCTGAGCCAGCCAGCTGTCACACCGCTCCCACCTGCCTGTCTCCTATGCTCCAGAGATGGTATGTCCCTAGGCGTCCTCACATCCTATACACTGTGCATAGAACATGATGACTCACAAGACCGCTGAAGAGGAAGGGGGAGAGGCTGGAAAGACCAGTCTAAGGCTGGCCATACACCTGTCAATTTCTTTTGTTCAACCCGCAAGCTGAACAAAAGAAATTGACACGATTCCTCCATCAACACAAACAGCGTATCGATTGAGGAATCGCCGCAGTTTGCATTGCATTCTGACCGGTGCCTCAGGCACAGGTCAGAATACCCGATCAGTGGCTAGCTCATTAGCTGCCAGCTCTGATCGCACAAAGTTTGCCAGCAGGCTTGTTTGATCAGCTGATCAAGGAATGTCGGCTGAAAGGAAGCCGACAGCCCCACACACTGTGCAAATTTCCGCCGGTACATTACAAAATGGCCGAAATGAGCAAGTCGGCTATGAGGATCCGGCGAGTAAAAGTTTATTTTCCTCCCTAGACTAAAACGAGCAGTTAACTGTTGCAGTGTTGGTGTAGCCCCACTTCAAGGGATAAGAATTTTGCCTGAAGTTCTTCTTTAAGAACATTATTTTTCAGTTATATTTTCTACAAGCAACATGGGCCATGTAAAAATTGGGAAATAACGTAGATCTGGCTCAGGATGCAATTGTAGCGGGATACTTACTTTTTCCAGCATGTGGTCGGGATAGATAAATATGGTCGGTATAGTGTTGGCTCTCAAACGGACAGTCTGACCTGTTCTGTCAAAACATGTCTCTTCAAAATGTTTGGAACACAAAAATGTGTGCAGGCTTGGGATGAAATGTTCTCTGTTGAGGAGGCTCAGCCATAGTTTTCGTCTCTCAGGGTTTGAAGGAAATCTGACATAAATAAATGACAGGTTGACAGTAAAGAGAATGTTGTTACAAGGTCATTCCGTACAAATGTGGGTGATTGAAGGGTTATGTATAGTCTTGACTATTTTTTTTTTATAGATACACGGTACGTGTAGAAGAGATGAGCTTTATAAAAAGATTGTAATAGGCTCAATTCACAAAGCTTTAAATGAGCATAAGTATCTTTTCAAGTCATGTGACTCATTTTCAAATCTCATTGGATTAGGCTGAAAGTAACTTTTCAAATATAAGGGACTTTATCTTGGTGTTTGAGCTTTGTGAATGGAGCCTAATGTGTGTTATAAGAGATAAAGCTGACCTCTGGGGAAATGAAACCTTCTTTGCAGTGGGGCTCTCACTAGGGTTCTCCCAGAAGTTTGATCTTTTTAGCAATTTGTAAGGATGATATCCTTTCCATTAGCCACCAATGTAATGGGAGTCCTTCATCCAATGATCACCAGTCTAAGAAGGACCTTCTGTAAAGGAGCATTTTGCTGCCCACAAAGGTAAGGGGGCCACTTCACTGACCACAAAGGTAAGGGGGCCACTTCACTGACTGCAAAGGTAAGGGGGCCACTTCACTGACCGCAAAGGTAAGGGGTCCACTTTACTGACCCCAAAGGTAAGGGGTCCACTTCACTGACCGCAAAGGTAAGGGGTCCACTTCACTGACCCCAAAGGTAAGGGGTCCACTTCACTGACCCCAAAGGTAAGAGGTCCACTTCACTGACCCCAAAGGTAAGGGGTCCACTTCACTGACCACAAAGGTAAGGGGTCCACTTCACTGACCACAAAGGTAAGGGGTCCAATTCATCACTTCACTGACCACAGAGGTAAGGGGGGTCACTTCACTGACCACAGAGGTAAGGGGGGTCACTTCACTGACCACAGAGGTAAGGGGGGTCACTTCACTGACCACAGAGGTAAGGGGGGTCACTTCACTGCCCACAGAGGTAAGAGGGTCACTTCACTGCCCACAGAGGTAAGAGGGTCACTTCACTGCCCACAGAGGTAAGGGGCTCCCTTCAATGCCAAAAAGGGTAAGGGGGGGTCACTTCACCGCCCACAAGGGTAAGGGGGCTACTACGCTGCCCACTGACAGGGTTCCTCCATGTTAAAAATAATAGTTGAGAAAGACTGCACTGAGAATCATCACATGTTACAATCAACTTTACACCTACCTAAACTTTCCAATCAATCTGTATGTAATAAATCAGACTTTTGCACTACAGTAGATTTAACAGAGATTGGACAACTAGATTGTAATGTATGTGGTGAGCTTTAGATGTATTAGATGGGGCTATTTGTTCATTAGAGAAGGGATAGGAAGATGTTTATACACATCAGCAGGCAATACATTCCTTTCATGTAAACCGCAACTATAGTAAAAAAAACTTTAAATCTGATTGGCTTTCATACAAATGATGGGAGAGCCATGTATGTAATACCTACCTATGAAACGTAACGTTACTGTCTCTTTTAGAATTGTTAGAACACCCAACTGCAGCACAAGTGGTGGGCATTGTCCTTACTTTCTAACTGCCTACAGTCCATCACGTAATATCCTTCTGTACGAGCGATGGGACGAGCTGTCGTCCATTTCCAACATGGCCGCTGCTGGCTTCACACGGTCATATGACCAGAGCTGCTGCCCTTGGATCCAGTGACGTCAAATTTTTTAAGGTGGACCGGAGTAATTTGATGCTCCGGTAGGAGAAATGGGTTGTGTAAATTTCACCTCCCACCCGATTACAGCTTGCTCAGCAGGCTGCTCGAGATCATTATAAATAGTTGTGAGCTCAAGCAAGACAGATCAGTGAAGATTGCTTATTGTACAGGAATTCAGCGATAGCAGCAAGTCAAAGGTCTGTGCACATTGGACTTGTGTTGAAAGCACTGCGAGAAGAGCAGACCCAGAAGAGCTGCACAAGCCGGCTGACAGTGTAAGTCATTCATTGATTCATTGCAAGAAACCACCATTCATCCGCAGTGCAAGAGGAGATATTGCAGCAGGAGATCATATATTCTAATCAGACAGCAGTAGAATTGTCTTGTTGTGTGGATGATCATGTGTACATGATGTGTACTGAGCCGGGATCTTGTAGGTGCTGAAGGGAGGGAGCTGATGCAATCATGAGCGGTACAGTCATCATCTGTCAGTCGGAGCTGCACTTGGTATTGGAGCCCCCGACCAATCACATATTAGATCTTTATCATTCCCTGTCTTCCTCCACTAATTATACTGTTCTGTACAACTGACTGCTGGAAACTGGGAATATTACTTCACTTTATTAAACCCAAAAATATAGAATATAACGCTATTATGATGTGATGATGTTGTGTAGGTATATGTTATGCATTGTATACATAAGTCTCTTCTGAGTCTTCATTTAATCAGAATGTATTGATTTACATCTGTTTCCCTTATTTGCATCAGTCTTACACACACACCACACGTTACAATCTGAATGTACAATGTCATTTAGATCTACCAATAACTAAGCAGTGCAAGATCCTGATTGGATATAAATCGATTGGATAGTTTACGGATATCCTCATATTACATCGTTTCAGTAGATCTAAAGTTGACTGTACACAGATTGGGGGCAATTCATCAAAACTGGAACAGTTAACAATGGCAACCAATCAGACTCTTTCTTCAGTTTGTTCAGTTACGCTTTGAAAATGAAATATAGAAGTTGGTTGCCATGGACAGTTCCTTCAGATTCTGTCTGCTCCAGTTTTAGTGAATTGACCTAGTTGCATTTCACATAAAAAAAAAAAAACTGGGGAAATTACTGGAGCAGTTGTCCATAGTAACCAATCAGCTTCTCTGTTTCAATTTCAAAGCTTAACTGAACAAACTAAATGGAGAAGCTGATTGGTGGCCCTGGCAACTGCTCTAGATTTTGTCTGCTCCAGTTTTTAGGAATTCCCCCACATGTATCATAATGTGTTTGGTGAGCTTAGGAGTTTCTAAAGCAACAAACATGCAGTTCTTATAAAAATGACGAAATTGTACTCTATGCAAAGGGCACTTGTTTTATACTAATAGCCACTATCTTAATTTTGGTTGCCTGTCTGCCTGAAATCTTATGTCCGGGTTTCTGCTGCCATGAAACCTGGACACAGCATTCAAAACCTGGACTGTCCGGTTGAATCCTGGACAGGGACAACCCTAGTGGGGAAGGGGGTTGTGGTTCTGGCAATCTGACCGTGTGTCATGTTACACTTTAAATATGGGTGTGATATAAAAAACGGTCAGAAACGTAAACTTGGCTTTAAAGTAATTGGGGGGAATTGATGAAAACTGGAGCAGACAGAATCTGGAGCAGTTACCCACAGTAACCAATCAGCTTGTCTCTTCAGTTTGTTCAGCTAACCTTTGAAAATGAAAGAGAGAAGCTGATTGGTTACTAAGGATAACTGCTCCAGATTCTGTCTGTACCACTTTTGATAAATTCTCCTCCATGTGTGGTGACTGGCCTTTTTTTTAGCCACTTCACAGCGTCAGTCACCACTGGGGGTCATAGAAAACAAATAACATACCCCATTTACAGCACAATGCGGGTGTCATTTTGGGTTCGGTGCAGAACAATGTAGACAAAATGAAAATGAAGCGATGACACTGGAAATAGGGGAAAAATACATGAAAGAAGCTGCACATCAACAGATGAAGAAAATATGCTCACCCGATCCTCAGTCTTGCAGCCGTCAGCACTCATCTCTCTCTTTCCCTCCGCTCCGGCAGTGGAACGTTCCTCGGCGTCCTCGACGTCATGGGTCCTTAGACCGCTGAAGCCCAGGGGAGAAGAGGCTGCTGGGACCGGTTTAGAAGCCAGGTGGGATTTAGGATCAGTTGAGCATATCTTCTTTATTTTAGCCCCGGACCAAAAAGAGCAGTTAACCCTTGCAGCGCAGAACAAGGGTAATTTTCACAATTCCTGCAGGAGTTCCTCTTTAAATCTGGGTACATACTGAGTAATATTCAATCCGTGGGTGGCCTTATCCCCTCAACAGAATTGGATCCACTTTTGCCAAAGAGACCTGCTGGAAAATCATTGTTGTACACAGCAGGAGATTTGTTCATCCATGCTGTTAGTGTGGATGGAGGAATCTGTCCATTTTTTGGATTCCGCCTGTGAGGCTGAACAAAAAAAGGAATATTCCGTGTGTACCCAGCTTCAATGTTGGATTGTGCTTTTTTTTACATTGTTACATGAGATACATTTGTATCCAAGCTGGCAAGATTCTTCAACTGTGGTCACCCTCTGATGAAACAATAAACATATTTGATACCTAGCACGAGTACTTCCTGTATTAGGAAGCCAGGCAGTGCATCATTGCACGCTGCCCGGTTTCCTGATTGGCCAGGAAACGGCTCCATGCTCTCTAGTCATTTGTGATGAGAGAGCATGGAGCAGACTTCCCGGTCAATCAGGAAGCCGGGTAGCGTGCAATGACGAGCTGCCCGGGTTCCCGATTGGTCAGGAAGCTAGCAAATTCCGAACCCGAGCGCCGTGTAATGACTCAGCGCCCGGCATTCTGATTGGCCGGGAAGCTGGCGTCATGCTCCCTCGTCATCTCATGAATCATAATATTAAGAAAGTGACCATAAAGCATTAGTTTGTATTGCTTTAGAAAAAATGTGACCTGTCCCCTTAAAAAAAAGTATCGGTAATTGGTATCTGCGAGTACTTGAGGGGATGTACTTGTATCGGTACTCGTACTCGGTCTTAAAAAAGTGGTATCGGTGCATCCCTAATATATATATACCGTGTTTCCCCGAAAATAAGACACTGTCTTATATTTTTTTTGCCCCCAAAAACTACACTAGTTCTTATTTTCAGGGGATGTCTTATTTTTTTTTAATGTGCAACAACATGTACAACAATCTAAAGTTATTCATGTACAACAATCCAAAGTTATCTGGTATCACTCCGCCTGTCACAGTAACTGGGGCTATAGAGGAATATCGGCTAATGTGGCTCTGCTCCCTCCGCCGACGCCGCAGCCTTGGTTTCAACAGCGCTGGCTTCCTTTGTCACCAGGGACAGTGGTACCAGCGGTGCAGCAGTGGGGACATCAGACAGTGGACAGAGCGGTAAAGTGCCTTCAGGGGGACAGCAGTTGGTGAAGTATGGTACTGGAGTGCTCCCTGTCACTGCGCTGTCTAGAGGGAGTCCCCTGTCATCCCCTTAATACAGTATGTCCCTGCAGGCTGATACCATCTCTCCTGCAAGTTCCCCCTCACATGCTTCCACCAAACTAGGTCTTATTTTCGGGGTAGGTCTTATATTACAGGAATCTTGAAAAATAGTGCTAGGTCTTACTTTCGGGGTAGGTCTTATTTTTGGGGAAACAGGGTATATATATATATCTTTGTTGAAACGCAAACAAGCAAATGTAATTGTTGCATATATCATTTTCAATCTATGATGAATATATGATTTCACACAGTGCCATTGCCATTGGACTGGTAAAGCTGTTGATAGTTTTAAAAATGAACAGAGCAGTTGCTTTGGTTGTTATAATAAATAATAGAATACATGCCTTAAAGATGAACTCCAGACAAATAAAATCTTAGGACAGGTTCACACCATTTTCTGGACCAGATGTGGAACGCACTGGGTTGTGTTTTGCCGCGTTCCCTTTTAGGTCTTGCTGGGGGACCTCTGCAAGACCTACAGGTAGCCAGGACAAGAGCAGCACAATGCTTGCACATAAGAGACATGAACTTACCACAGTTGTTCTTTTCAGAGCTGCTGAAATGACCATAGCCAGGGACAACCTGGGGATCAATGCCTCTCCACTTGTCCATCCTCCTATCATTGTTCTTATATTGCCCATGCTTCGGATCATACAGCTCCGGGCAGGCTTCCACAAGTTCTACAAAGAAGTCAGTGTCCACTTCAGCCATCGTGGTTCCTATCTTCACAGATCTCTCTCTCCACAGAAGCAGGAAGTCCAGGGGTGATGAGATCATCCAAACCAGCCTTAAAAAAAGTATTTTCCCCCATTGAGTTCCGGTGCGTTTTTGACACGTGCAAAAAAACACGTTTTTTTGTGTGCGTTCTGGTGCGTTCCAGACCAGACAAAATGTGACTCGCAGTATTTGTCTGGTCTGGTCTGGAAATGACTGCGCTGGTGTGAACAAAGGCCAGGAAGAGCATAGGGAAACATTGGGATGCATTTTCGGTCCAGAAACAATTTGGTCTGGTTTGGAGGTGGTGTGAATGGGCCCTTAACCCCTGCAGTGGGGCTCCCCCCGTACTGTAAGAGTTAAATGCTTGTTTGGTCTAGGTAGCTGAAATAACCGAGATATGCTCACCCAAACCACAATCTCGGCTGGCTGTTAGTTCGGTGACTGGAGCCTCGCCCCCCTCCACTCCAGCAGTCTAAGGATCGTCCAATAGACTGTATAGGACATAAGGACCCTGTGGGACATTCCATCACTGGAGAGAAGCTCTGGGGATGGGTCTAGCAGCCAGCCGGGAGTATAACTTTGTTAGTCTTTCTATAAAATCTGATGAATGAATTGTATTGCTCCAGCAGGCTTTGGGGCCTGGCGTTTGAAGTAAAACTGAAATCTATCTGGAGTATGTTCTTTGAAATGATGTT